GGCTTTCTGACTTGCTTCTGGATGTCGCAAATGACCGTGCTGCGTAATTGGCTTTTGAAAGAGGCCATGTTTTGACACTTGTGTGATCACAGGAAGACGCGGACAGCTATATATCTTCTCACGGGCCGAAGAAACATGAATAAAGAGAATTAAATTAAGCGAACATGTTCACATGTGATCTTCGTGCCAGATAGGTCAAGTTCGTAACGAAAGGTCACAGGTCATCTGCCAACCGGAAGGATATGGATGCATGTAGTTAGGTGTCGGCCATGCATGCAGACATGGCAGAAACCGTTAATGGCGGGACAGGTGTCTCACCCTCAACTCCCGGGTCTGCCCCACCCCCGGGACACCAGACTCATGTCCGCTGGGAAGATTAGCACCCCACCCCCTCCCCGCCCCGATATTTAAAAAGAACACTTTCTGTCATTATTTCTCCTGAACACTGGTCAGAATGTCGTCTGCTTCACGGTATTGTTGTCTCCCGCCACAAAATAACACAAATCTCTTCTTCAAGCAAACGCTTTCACCTGATTAGCTAACCTAAAGAGATTTCACACGCCGGTGTGTAAATAGTTATAATTGGCCACGCTGCCCATATTCTACTTAATTGTACCCATGTTTGCTTCACTTGACAACAAGTATTTCTTCAATAGTCTCTTCCTGTTGAATAAATGTGCCAAGTGTGACCCCGGTCATTGTGGTCGCATACCCGCTCATCTGAAGAGGGTATCAAAGTCTACCGTGACGAGAACAGGCGGAACATAACAAGCCTTGTTTAATTCACACCTGATGATTCACACAATCAGGAATAATTAGGCGAGGTGTCAGCTGCTTTGATGTGTAGAAAACGTGGACAGGTGTATGTGTGATATCATCTCAATCGCGGTGTGATCATATTTCTGTGTCAGCATATCGGTAGAAAGACTCCAAATTTGGCTGTCCGTGGTGAAATGGGCTGGACATCCTCATTTACAAAACAAAAGATTGAAATTCTTCGGTTCTGGCGCAGTTTGCATGCTGCAGATCAATCCCGAATGCTGAGTATTATTTGCAGATGGTCAGTAAAATTCCGTAGATCCTGGAATAATACAGTTTTCAACTACTTTGTCAGTTTACATTTACCAATTTATGATCTAAATAATATTTCTACTGAAGAGTTTAACTTGTCTAAAGTATGTCTGTTATCCTTAGACCATTCTGATTGGTTACATGGACTCTGGAACGATACGGGCCAGGTAAATGGTAATAAGTTACGTACATACAGATTATTTAAAGATTCTTTATCAGTAGAACCCCATGTCAGTTTATTGATGAACAGATGTCAGCGCAGTATATTAAGTAAGTTTCGCTGCGGCTCACTGCCATTAGAAATAGAATTAGGAAGATTCACCCGCCCGAAAACACCGCTTATTGAACGTATGTGTAAATTCTGTAATTGCAATGCTGTTGAGGATGAAATACACTTTTTTGCTGAATGTTCTCTCTATACAGATTTACGCTATGATTTATGGAATTTAGCTTCTCAATCAAATCCAAACTTTATACAGATGTCCGCTGCCGACCAGACCGTGTTCTTTATGCGGAACAATAAGGTGGTCAGACCCCTAGCCGCGCTTCTTCACCACATGTATGAGCGAAGACAACTGTGTCTTTCGTCTCTACCAGCCTAGTTCCATGTATCTTAGTATCAGAATGTTCTGAGAACTGGCGATAACCGGTGATAACTGGTGATAACTCATTTTTATGTATATGTATGTACTGTGATAACTGGTGATAACTCATTTTTATGTATATGTATGTGCTGTGATATTTCTCATTTTTACTTATATGTATGTGACGTCCTGCGTGTCTCGTAGGCCATAATGGCCGGACACTGTACACACTATTTATGTATTTTTATTGTCACTGCTGTACAGTGTGTGACACGAAAATAAAATAATTTTCTTCTTCTTCTTCTTCTTCATATCTTAATCTTCAAGTGCTTCAACAAGCCAAAGATTTATTTGTGAGTGATCACTATCATCATTACACACCGGCTGTTCTCTCCGCTTTGCCACATGGCGGTGAGGTGAATTCCGAGAAAACGGCGAGCCTTTCCAACACAACCGCCTCTACAATGGCTTAAAGTTGGTTATTAGATCCCAAAATCCGATTCTAAATAATCTACAGTGAGGGAAGGGTGTTAGTAGACGAAACATTACATCTTTAGGTTTAATTGAATTGGAAATGTTACCCAAACAAATTACATACATTTTTGGGATGGTCATATCTTTTGCTACACTCGAAGATAATTATCAAATTGATCGATCCCATCTAACCTTCTTCAACAGATGTCCATTATTACTACAAAATGAGTTAGCAATTTAGAAACAAACACGCTCGTGTTATGGGACCTGTCAGGATCGTTTGTTCGTTGTTTAACGCCGCACTCATCAATATTACAGCTATATGACGGCGGTATGTAAATAATCGAGTATGGACCAGACAATCCAGTGACTGACATCATGTGCATCGATCCACACAAGTGGGATATGATGACATGCATCAACCAAGTCAGCGAGCCTGATCACCCGATCCCGTTAGTCGCCTCTTAAGACAAGCATAGTCGCCTTTTACGGCAAGCATGGGTTGCTGAAGAACTAGTCGACAACGAATCTTTACGGGTCGAACCTTTCAGGTAAACCATGATGTGTCTGAACTATTGCTCTGTGTGTCTGTAAATACACATCTCTGAATTATTGCAATGTGTCTGGATCTCATGTATAAAGTGTATGAACTATTGCAGTCTTTGTTTGTGAATCCCATTGCATGAAGTTTTAATAATTTGTGTAGCTATATATAGATAACGTTTAGTATAAAACCAAGCATTGTATTCTAACTTGGTGGCCAACTGATGGTAGTGTGTCTTGAACAAATCTAAAATTGCATCATCTGCCTCGCCGAGAATATACACCCAAAACTGCCGGCGACACTCATTTATTAATTCACTCACGACAGGTTCCTATATATTAATACTGCATGTTGGCATTGCTTGTCTCTACACTGTAAAAATGTGTTTGGAATGTTAACACAGACAAGACATGTTTAGATCTAAACATGATAAGGAATGTTTTTAAATCCTAAACGGAATACACATTTTGTGTTCAATCTGAACGCATTTAGGTCAAAACACATCACTAAAAAACACCTAAATACAACATTCCAATGATCTAAACATGTTCAGAATTTATACACAATGAACATGTTTAGTTTTTAAACATGTTTAAATTTTTTTAGAATTTAAACCTGTTTAAAAAAAGGTACATATCATTAGGTCATAAGTCAAATATGGATAAGATGTATAATATATATTGAAATTATATGTGCTTGCAAATCAGATTCACAGGCACTTGTATAACACATATACCACCAGGACTTACAACGAACTTAATGCAATATTAACATAAAAATGTACAACTTAACCAGACTCGGTTAATGGTGTCTAGGAAATTTGGCACTTGAGATGACAACAGTCTCGTAGCACAGGTGGTAGCGTGAAGGACTACCAATCAAGAGCATTAATACCCCGCCGAGGTTAAAAAATCTATGTGTTCATAAAAGTGTTGTTACTGTATGACTTATAGTATTTCTCTCAATAAGGAAGCTGACAATGAACGTATATCTGATGTCTACCATAGACCCTTATCTTATTAAGTTACCACCACCCACCAGAAATCATACATTTATACTTCTAAAATAGCCTTTATTCTACTAAACATCCTTCTCCGCTGTACACTATTGGTTCTACATTATTTCAACCATCATACAACAGGTGGCCATGTTCCAGGGTAGCCTTAGTAATGGCGTGTCACTAAACTAAACGAGTATCGTTGATGAAGAAATAAAATGAATTGAATGCCCCCAGTAATTGTGTAAATATAATTAACAATTAACGACAGGCAACGGCGACCTAAATATATCACAAACGAGTAGCCCTCTGAAATGGCTGACCTGGGCTTAAGTTCAAAATCAACCAATGTCCTTTCTTACCTATTAACACAAACCCGTGAATTATTTCCGTTTCTAATGAATTACTGGACCCCCTTGGCGTATTTGCTTAATTCAAACAATGGCAACCTCCCCTATTCACAACGAACCAAACTTGCCGGCAGTAAAGGTGTCTTGGTCGCCATTTTAGTATTGTCGTCTGCCGCCCTGATTACAAATGGCGGTCAACTTTGGCCGGGGTAATGATAAGCTGAACGGCATTTCCCACCAAGAATTGTCGCCCGTTCCTCCCACTTCTGTCCTGCATTGTGTATCAAGTAAAACCCACAAAATGTTGGTGTGAAAATTGCCAGTCGAGAGGCTTTTGGTTACGCCAATCTACGCCATAGGAGGAAGGCCTTCTTCCAAAGCCTCTCCACTATCCTATCTAGTAATACATGAAAAGATGTGTGTAAACATAATGTGCAGCACTGAAATAGCTGATCATGTATTCTGGGAGGACTGCCTTGTGATAAACATTTGAGATATAATTTTGGAGATAGGAGCAGATTTGGCTGTAGGATTTACTATAATCTATAAAATGTAATGTAATATAGTGAAATACAGAAGCAACGACGCGAGCCGCATAGTAGGGCCAAGGCCGCTGTAACTGTTTTTAAATGGGGGGGGGGGGCTTGTCCCCAACCTGTATTTTCTTGATTCAAATAAAAATGTTTTCTATAATAAAAACAATCTCTCCCCCCCCCCCCCCCCCCCCCCCCCCCCCGGCTGGCTACGGCACTGAGGGCACTGAAACTGCGTCCCTGTGCTTTAGCTGTAAAAGTTAAGGGCGAAGTTGTACTTGTATATAACACTACACATGGGGGTAGAGCAAACTTTACCTCTTATTGATGATATGTGTAGTATGGAAACCTGTTAATCCGGGTGGTGGATGGAAAAATGTTTGTACGTGTATATAGGTGAATCGTACATGGGTTCCAGCATATGCAATACACAACATACACAATTTGTCTTGTCGAAAACGTTTTTATTTAGCATCAATAGAAATGCCAAGTATATGAAGGAAGAACAACGGTTGCGAATATACGCAATTAAATAGCTGCTCAACAGTTAGAACACAGAAAAACCTCTATAGTCCGGACCCCGTTAATCAGGAAAACCCCTTATCCAGATCATTACTAATGGGAACAATCATATAATTAAAGGGACAATACTCCGTACCCGTGATTAGGTAATCCGGATGATTTCACTGGGAACGTTAACATCAGTATCAAAAGGGTTTCACTGTGTAAAACAGCTTCATCAATCCATTGTAATCTTATATAGCATATCAACATAAAAAAGATTGTCGAGTGCGATGCTGTGATGAAGATGCAAGCAGTATAAGCTCCGACAGCATGATTTATATTGGTAGTTGACTGACCATCGACGTACAGGTTGACATCCATAGATGCAGCTTTGTTTGGAGTACATTGTATATGTCATTGAAGATTATTTTTGGAAACGATCATTGAAAGACACCGGTTTCGTGGGACCCGTTGTTGAACTTTGGCACAATATGCGACATCACTTATCGGTGGGAAGATGTCACTTTGGTCAGACTGGCAAGATGTTCAGATTATTATTCGTATGAGCATTTAAACACTTGATGAAATTCCAAAACGGAACAAAGTTGCAAAATCGTTATAGTTAGAGGAGGGCTTCAGTATGTGTTTTTTGTCGTACAAAGGAATAAATAATAATAATATTTATGAAGACGACGACGACGACGACGATGATGATGATACACTTCCAGGCATCCAATGTGTAACGGTACAAAAGCATTACCATGGAATAAATACAATGAATATGGTATACGTGCTTATGAATCAAAACCTGTACATAACATGTACATTGCATCTCAAAACCCATTGAACATAATCCCTTCAACCAAATGCATTTAAGAATAAATACTTGCTACATTGCATATACACCTTTATGCACAAGGTTGGCAACCCATATTGATTTTACTCCTGTCGACATACTTTCTCCACTAAATACATGAATAAATTAACATAATATTGCCTAGGACTAATGCCTAGGACGCCTGGGCGATCTCTGTGATGGGCTCTCTTGTCAATAGATTATGTCGATGCATGTCGAAATGCCATTCAGTGCTCTCATCAGATCCAACCATTTCTCGCACAAGCTTTCGTATCGTTAGATCTAGAGTAAAAAGATGGTCATCTTTATCTTCCGGAACGTAATGTCTGACGTAATCCGCTATTTTTGTGACGTATTCAACATTTGTCCCAGCAGCCCCCCTGGCAGTCACTATCTGCTTTGCCATAGAAGGAATATCCGTTTCCCCGAGGTAGTATTGGTTATCCTCCGTCACTGTGAACACAAGAACACTAAATGGTTCTGACCCCTGTTCTCTGGGTTCGAACTCAGTCACTAGTGTGCTGTAGCCACCAAGCTGGGTCTCACGAACGTTCAGATACGTTAACGCTTTGGTCACAGATTCTGTCCCCTTGATTTCGTAAGCGACACCCCATGCACGACCCTGAAGAAAAGAAAATGTATGTTGTAAGTAATCGAAATTAATCTCAATAAACTTTGAAAAATGCGTTTGTAATGGCTTGAACATGTGAAATTTGGTACACGAAATAACTTTTATCACTATTTCTGACCACGAACACGTCGAGGTGCATGGTGTCATGTATACAGTTTTCAGTTAGGCCAATTATGAGGGGACGCGAACCCTGGGTGCCGGTGTACCACGGACCTAAATATGTATGTCCGTGGTTGTTCAATGCGATCTTAGCGCAAAGGTGTTCGCAACTCCCATACCTTAACATAGACTTACGACAGTCGTAGCGCTAAGGTTGTTTTGTACAACGGTGGCTAGAGTGCCGTTGTTCAAAGCGACCTTAGCACTAAGGTGATCGTAACTCCCATACCTTAACATAGACTTACGACAGTCGTAGCGCTAAGGTTGTTTTGTTCAACGGCGCCCAGGTCTTTGGCGTGGCCAGTGAACGCTTAAACTGCTGTAATACTGTACCGTCAAACTCACGTAAAAAAATATGATAGTGGGTTCGAATCCCAGATCCGCACTGATTGCGGTTCTTGCTTCGTCGGTACTATACCCGAACTTATGGGTTTCACCAAAGTGATCATTGTCTAAGTTCTGCTTTCCTTCCCTATATCCTACACGTCGTAAAATGGCTGAAACACTGCCCAAAGCGTTAAACCAAACTCAATGTTATGTTTGTTTGTTTTGTAAGTTGTTTAACGCCGCATTCAGCAATATCAGCAATATTCCCGCGATATGACAGCGGCCTGTACATAATATAGCTGGAATATTGCTGAGTGCGGCGTTAAAAACTCATAAAACAAACAAACATAAATGGAAGAGAAACAACGAAACGTGACCCAGACAGATCACTAGACACTCTCCAAACTTACGAAAACCTGCATTTAGATATTGTAATTCTAACTCCCTCATTTGAGTTAGTAAATACTCGCAAATGCAATATGAAGTTACAAAAGTTCCACTGTAATTGAAAGTTTGGAGAACTTACAAAAAAAATGTTTGATTCAAAAATCGTGCAAGCTATTCACGCAAATATGGAATATATTCAAGTCGATATGAACTGACAACCGTTATTCTGACAGCATAGCCTCTCATAAACCCCGCATGAACGTATTAATTAGCCGATTTACCTACTAACTATATCATACATTTAGGGATTATATAGGGTATACAAGTTTGACCTTTATCCTGTGAAATATGTTAAATACGAAAATATTCAATTTTTCAAACAAGCGTCTCCAGCTCGCGGTATCAGGAATAAAGCAATAAATGGACAAAAAAAAGAAAAAGAGAAAAAGATCATTTTCTCGACGTTTTAACAAAATGTCGTGGCATCTACAGGTACACAGTTGCTAACCGTTTTGTCCAGATTGTACACGGGGTTTCATCATCATAGTATAGAATGATGAAATAGCTTCCATGCCCAGTGCCATTGACCAGCTAACTGACGCTCACGGCTGTGTTTATTACTGCCCGCGGCGACAGGCTGATGCAATGTACAAGCAATACATTTCTTAAAACCAGAGACCATATACCGTTAGAACGCACTCATGTTATTAGTTTGGAATAAGGAATCGTGTGATTTGGTAGATTATGAAAACTAAGTCATGATCATGAACGATAACACGTGAAAATCACGTTCCGGTCACAAGTTATTGTAATAGCCTTATCTAGGTCACGTGCACTCACGTGAAGCGAGACTATCAATACAACTGATCTATTAATAGCACACCGCGTGGCAAGGTGATGAAACCCCCAGGCCGGCTTTTCTCGTATGATAAGGTGCATTTCATATAACACTTAATATTTCCATGGATGCATATACACACGTCTCATAACGTCTGATAAAGTGATCCGATGAATATTGCATACATAAACATGTGTTCATGAATAGGGGATTGGTTTAAGAAAAACAAAACATAATCACCTCTTTGCACTTGACCAAGTTTGCCACACGCCCAGGCTGAAAACAGAACAAGGACGGAAACGATAATTTTTATCACCTTTCTGACATATCTCATATACATAAAATGCACTCGTGGAATTTAATGTTACATCAAAAGTCACACAAAAAAGCAAAATATTTCCTTATCACCCATGACAACAAAAATATCATGGCCTGATTTGAACCCATATGGCCATGGCAGTATACACCTCACCTGGGGTATATAGTGATATTGTAAAAGGGTATACAGTTATAGGATCAAAGCTATACACTAGACAAAAGCTGGAGGATTTACCTGGCTTGGCGTTCCTCTGTGCGTTGAGTTACCCTGCCAAAATCTTCGAACAAATCCTTTGATGGAACCAATTTTCTTTGAAGAGTATTCAAAGTCCGGTTTCCATAGCAGCGAGCCATACCCGAACACCCAGATGGTTGGGTTATTGTGCAACAGGTAATCGAGTGATGTGATATCCATATTGTAGGGAATTTCAAGACGGGCAGAGACAATCCTCGTGTGCAGAGTAGAATAACACGACAGAGCAGCGATACTGTTCGATATGAACGCAAATTGTAGAGTAAATAAAGCTCAATACTAGTAGATATACAACCTAGCTCTTATATACCTAGTGCAAACGTGATCCAGTGCGTGATTGACACTTTCATCCAATGAAAATGCTGTATTTTACAACGGATCATTTTGATTGGTTGTGACCACATAAGGGCTTAAACACCCGCCATTTTCTCAAGATTTCATCATCAACTTGCATCATTCGAGGGGAAATGAGTATAGTGCGGTAAGACGGTCGTTTCCGCTATGTGGCACAGAGAACAAATATTTGATTGATTACTTGTGTACATTTGAATGACTGACTGCACGTTTCATACACAGTGGGCGATTTACTTGTACACTGCAGCGATTGCTCTCGATTTGAAAACACAGGTGAACCCGTGTTGAGTGGTGTGGAATTGGACGGGGTGGGGTTCCGGTGGAGAGACGTGTGATGGGACGGGATGGGTTGTCGTGGCGTGGCGTGAGATTGGGAGGGGTTGGGTGGAGAGACGTGTGATGGGACGGGATGGGTTGTCGTGGCGTGGCGTGAGATTGGGAGGGGTTGGGTGGAGAGACGTGTGATAGGCCGAGATGGGTTGTCGTGGCGTGGCGTGAGATTGGGAGGGGTTGGGTGGAGAGACGTGTGATAGGCCGAGATGGGTTGTCGTGGCGTGGCGTGAGATTGGGAGGGGTTGGGTGGAGAGACGTGTGATGGGCCGGGATGGGTTGTCGTGGCGTGGCGTGAGATTGGGAGGGGTTGGGTGGAGAGACGTGTGATGGGCCGGGATGGGTTGTCGTGGCGTGGCGTGAGATTGGGTGGGGTTGGGTGGAGAGACGTGTAATGGGACGGGGTGGGGTGGGGTTGCGTGGCGTGGCGCGGCGTGGCGTGGAGTGCCGTGGCATGGGACGGGGTGAGGTGGGGTGGGACGGGGTGGGTTGGACGGCGTTGCTAGGGTTGGGGTGGGGATGAGTGGCGTGCGATGGGACGGGGTTGGTTGGACGGCGTGGGTTAGGGTGGGGAGGGGAGGAGTGGCGTGGGATGGGACGGGGTTGGAGTTGCGTTGGGTGGAACAGGGTGGACTTGCGCGGGATGAGATGGGACGGGGTGGGGAGGAGTTGCAAGACGTGGCATTGTGTGGCGTGGCGTGGAATTGGTTGGGGTGGAGCGGCGTGGGATGGTTCTATGCTCATGGTTCGAATCCATGATTCGTCCCCATTATGATCCTTGGTTTGTTAGCACCATTTCCGTGTTTGTGGATATCGCCCACGTGGTAAACGTCGAAATGAAGAAAACCTGCGCCGATTTAAGTAGGACACACAGTAGGAGACACATTACTTTCAACTTGATTGGGAAGTGGCTTATCACAAGACATGGACCTTTAATGTAAGATAAGTTAGTACAGTTTTATGTGGGTTTTTTTAATCCTGGTATTTCAAATTACCTTCGGCGCCACTGAAATAAGTTACAATATATTTACTGTATGTAAATCACGTATGATACAACTTGTTTCAGCGTGTGATGGTTTACTAATGGCTCATGGACATTCTCCCGCGTGTGTACGCATAATAATATAATTGTGATTGAAGGCCAAATTAACGCCTTGTGGCTTTAATTTATTCGACTTTAAGATTTGTTTGTTCGACTGTCGTTTTGCGCTATTCTCAGACTGCGGCCTGTAAATAACGGAGTCAAACCAGACAAACCTGTTATTGATTTAAGGCCAAATCGTCGAGATACGATAATACGGCCCCGTGAACATCCGGGTTAGAATTGGTCTTCAGCAACCCATGCTTGCCGAAAGAGACGACTAACGGAATCGGGTGGCCGGGTTCGCTGACTCGGTTGATGTATGTCATCGTATCCCACTTGCATATATCGAAGCTTATGATGTCAGTCACCGGATTGTCTGGTCAAGACTCGAGTTAAACCACAAACAACAACGATGATACGCAACTGACCAAATCACCGAAACTGACCACAGTACAGGTTTCTGGTTACCTATTTTAACACGGAATCCTAACGGGGAATTATGTATAGCAGGCAATAAAGACAAATTGTATATGGAGGTAGCGTGAGGCACTTCTCGGGGTCATGGTTGGTATGTCTTGTCACATATCGTCACATGTGCCGTAACTTTCCTTCAAACTACATGTTTCTGCCATGCATGATAAGAATACTAGTATTATGCTAGATATAGTGTTCACACACAACAGCGTTTGGTGAGTGAGTGAGTCGGATTTCTCACCACTTTTATTGCAATATTTCAGCTGTGTCATTTCATTTCATAGATTAACACTGTAGGTGGTATAATCATAGGGAAACTGTAGGTGGTATAATCATAGGGAAACTGTAGGTGGTATAATCATAGGGAAACTGTAGGTGGTATAATCATAGGGAAACTGTAGGTGGTATAATCATAGGGAAACTGTCGGTGGTATAATCATAGTGAAACTGTCGGTGGGATTAGCATAGTGAACACTGTCGGTGGGATTAGCATAGTGAACACTGTCGGTGGGATTAGCATAGTGAACACTGTCGGTGGGATTAGCATAGTGAACACTGTCGGTGTCATTGGCATAGGGAAACACTGTAGGTGGGATTAGCATAGGGAAACACTTTTTGGGATTAGCATAGGGGAACACTGTAGTTGGGATTAGCATAAGGGGACGCTGTAGGTGAGATTAGCATAGTGAACACTGTCGGTGGGATTAGCATAGGGGAACACTGTAGGTGAGATTAGCATAAGGGGACGCTGTAAGTGAGATTAGCATAGTGAACACTGTCGGTGGGATTAGCATAGGGGAACACTGTAGGTGAGATTAGCATAGGGGAACACGGTAGGTGGGATTAGCATAGGGGACACGCTTTTTGGGATTAGCATAGGGGAAACACTTTTTTGGATTAGCATAGGGGAACACTGTAGATAGGATTAGCATAAGGGGACGCTGTAGGTGAGATCAGCATAGGGGAACACTGTAGATGGGATTAGCATAAGGGGACGCTGTAGGTGATATTAGCATAGGGGAACACTGTAGATGGGATTAGCATAGGGGAACACTGTAGATGGGATTAGCATAAGGGGACGCTGTAGGTGAGATTAGCATAGGGGAACACTGTAGATGGGATTAGCATAAGGGGACGCTGTAGGTGAGATTAGCATAGGGGAACACTGTAGATGGGATTAGCATAAGGGGACGCTGTAGGTGAGATTAGCATAGGGGAACACTGTAGTTGGGATTAGCATAGGGGAAACACTTTTTGGGGGTTATCATAGGGGAACACTGTAGGTGGGATTAGCATAGGGGAAACACTTTTGGGGATTACCATAGGGGAACACTGTAGTTGGGATTAGCATAGGGGAACACTGTAGTTGGGATAAGCATAGGGGAAACACTTTTTGGGATTAGCATAGGGGAACACTGTAGATGGGATTAGCATAAGGGGACGCTGTAGGTGAGATTAGCATAGGGGAACACTGTAGATGGGATTAGCATAGGGGAACACTGTAGATGGGATTAGCATAGGGGAACACTGTAGATGGGATTAGCATAAGGGGACGCTGTAGGTGAGATTAGCATAGGGGAACACTGTAGATGGGATTAGCATAAGGGGACGCTGTAGGTGAGATTAGCATAGGGGAACACTGTAGTTGGGATTAGCATAGGGAAACACTTTTTGGGATTAGCATAGGGGAACACTGTAGATGGGATTAGCATAAGGGGACGCTGTAGGTGAGATTAGCATAGGGGAACACTGTAGATGGGATTAGCATAGGGGAACACTGTAGATGGGATTAGCATAAGGGGACGCTGTAGGTGAGATTAGCATAGGGGAACACTGTAGGTGGGATTAGCATAAGGGGACGCTGTAGGTGAGATTAGCATAGGGGAACACGGTAGGTGGGATTAGCTTAGGGGAAACACTTTTTGGGGGTTATCATAGGGGAACACTGTAGCTGGGATTAGCATAGGGGAAAACTGTAGCTGGGATTTGCATAGGGGAAAACTGTAGTTGGGATTAGCATAGGGGAAAACTGTAGCTGGGATTAGCATAAGGGGACGCTGTAGGTGAGATTAGCATAAGGGGACGCTGTAGGTGAGATTAGCATAGGGGAACACTGTAGATGGGATTAGCATAAGGGGACGCTGTAGGTGAGATTAGCATAGGGGAACACTGTAGATGGGATTAGCATAGGGGAACACTGTAGATGGGATTAGCATAAGGGGAAGCTGTAGGTGAGATTAGCATAGGGGAACACTGTAGTTGGGATTAGCATAGGGGAAACACTTTTGGGGGGTTATCATAGGGGAACACTGTAGGTGGGATTAGCATAGGGGAAAACTGTAGCTGGGATTAGCATAGGGGAAAACTGTAGTTGGGATTAGCATAGGGGAACACTGTAGATGGGATTAGCATAAGGGGACGCTGTAGGTGAGATTAGCATAGGGGAACACTGTAGATGGGATTAGCATAAGGGGACGCTGTAGGTGAGATTAGCATAGGGGAACACTGTAGATGGGATTAGCATAGGGGAACACTGTAGATGGGATTAGCATAAGGGGACGCTGTAGGTGAGATTAGCATAGGGGAACACTGTAGATGGGATTAGCATAAGGGGACGCTGTAGGTGAGATTAGCATAGGGGAACACTGTAGTTGGGATTAGCATAGGGGAAACACTTTTGGGGGGTTATCATAGGGGAACACTGTAGGTGGGATTAGCATAGGGGAAACACTTTTTGGGATTACCATAGGGGAACACTGTAGTTGGGATTAGCATAGGGGAACACTGTAGCTGGGATTTGCATAGGGGAAAACTGTAGTTGGGATTAGCATAGGGGAAAACTGTAGCTGGGATTAGCATAGGGGAAAACTGTAGTTGGGATTAGCATAGGGGAAAACTGTAGGTGGGATTAGCATAGGGGGACGCTGTAGGTGGGATTAGCATATATTGGTATGCCCAATAGGTGCTAAAGTACAGTCATAGATAACTGTAGTAGTGTGTTTGCTAAGGAACATCCCTTTCCGGTCATGTAACGGTCGCTTGTCCGTTTAGAAATCTGTATATAGTGTAAACTTCT